GGTAAATTTTCCATTGGTATTATTAGTATATCTTTTAGACAAATAGGACTTTCCAAAGCCTACCAGCAAATTGACTAGGAAATGGTGACAGCACCTCATAGATATGTCTGCGGCATTCAGTGAATTTCCCAAGATCTGCAGACCTAAAAAGTCCATCTGGACTGTAAACAATGTGTTATTGGTAGTCCAGTAACCGTAGTTCCATTGGGAACCTGTGAGAATTTTTCACTCCTTTGTATTTGCACAAATCTGTTAGGGGCCTGATACTAATGTTGACGGTTTACACTGTTTGAGAAGACTGTTCAGGTTCAAAAAGTCAGCATCTGTGCATTTAAATAGTTTCTTCTGCTCCTAACTTTTACCTTGCTTAGTCCTATCTGTCCAGGAATTTTGAGAATTTGTAGTGAAACCCAGTGTTCAACACTACGATATCCAGCTACAGATACATTAGTGCAGTCTGATTTAAAAAAAAAAAAAAAAAAAAAAGTCCACCCCTTACTTTTGGCCTCCCAAATCAAAGTTGAAGTTACAAGTAACAGGTATTCTTTCTCTGTATAGGGCTTTTTTACCTTATAGGAAAATATATTCCAGCTACAAATACCCTTAAATTTTTCCCACGGTTCTTGGCTGCTCCTGTAGATGACAACAATTTGACACAAAATTTCTAGAAACCTGAATAGCTTCTGGTAGTGTATCTAACATGGCTTATTTAGAAAACAAGAGCGGGGGACACAATATGAAAACTTAAGTTTTTGTTGATTTTTTCTCTGAAACACCGTATGACCACATTGCCAATGTGGGTTACTTGTAAGAAACCGAAGGTCTAGAACTAAAATATAGACTTTCCAGTCTAAAATTGTAATATTTCAGGGAAAAATATTGATAAATGTGCTTCATGCTCTGAAGCACAAAGGCCAGGGTCACTATAACTGTACTGGTGCACTGTCTTCACTAACCACAAAGGCATATGCCTCAGCTCGGTGTAGGAGGCAGATGAAGGAGTCCAGTTAGAAAGGAGAAAGAGAGGATGAAGCACTCAATCTCTAGCTCCCGTGAGTCCACATATAATTTCCAGAATCTCTTTTCTTCTTTTTGCTTTTCCAAAGACCTCAAATTAATTTGCAGGTTAAAAAATCCCCACCAGCCAACCATTTTTTCTGATGAGCTATATTAGAGAATTATGAATACCTCAGGTGAATTTCAAAGGTGGATTTGATCAACTCTTTTCTTCCATGTTTCTGTTTTATTAATCCATGATGTTCCTTAGTTATGTAAAAATCGACCCTCTAACTGTTGACTGTTTTCCACCACAGGTGAGAAATGTCTGCCTGATCTTCCATACGATGCCACCACCAATTATGAGAAGGAGAATGAGATAATGCAGACTCACGTGATAGACCAGGCCATTAATAATGCCATCAGTTACCTGGGGGCAGAGTCCTTGCGACCCCTGGTCCAGACACCACCAGGTGGTTCTGAGGTGGTGCCTGTCATTAGCCCCATGTATCAGCTCCACAAATCTCTTGGGGACAGTCAGGCTCGCTCCAACCACACAGCTCAGGACAGCGCAGTGGAAAACTTGTTGCTGCTTTCCAAAGCCAAATCTGTCTCCTCCGAAAGAGATGCCTCTCCCAGCAACAGCTGCCAAGACTCAACAGATACAGAGAGTAATAACGACGAACGCAGTGGTTTAATCTACCTGACAAACCACATAGGACCTCATGCTAGAAATGGCATCTCTATAAAAGAAGAAAACAGGCAATATGATGTCCTGAGGGCAGGTACTGACAATTCCCAGGATGCTTTCAAAGTGATCAGCAGCAATGGGGAGCAAGTGAAAGTTTACAAGTGCGAACACTGTCGAGTCCTTTTCTTGGATCATGTGATGTATACGATCCATATGGGCTGCCATGGGTTCCGTGATCCTTTTGAATGCAACATGTGTGGCTACCACAGCCAGGACAGGTACGAATTCTCTTCTCACATAACTCGAGGGGAGCACCGTTTCCACATGAGTTAAAGCTCCTTGGGCACAGACCCCTCTGCAACAGCTGCTGTTACTGGAGCTGCATGAGCCACGACAGCAAGAAAGCACAAGTCAGCTGGACAGTAAAAGTAACAAGAGAACCAAAAGTTCAGTTATCTTCTCCCACAAGAAAAGATTTTTCATTTTAGTAGCATGCATTGCAACTCGTTTTCTAAAATGAGTACTGAAGTTTTTACCGAAAATGTTTGATCACCAAAAACCTTTAGTAATGTAAGTAGGAGATTTTATAGTCACGTAAGTGAAAGCCCTTCCCTTAACTGATGCTTCTTGTAAACCTCCTTTGTCAAAACTGTTAACCATGCGCAGGATGCACCACACGGACAAGGATGCAACAGGGAGACGTGGTAAAGCTTTCTCTCAGCTCCCTGAACACAGGGCTCTTACACCAGATGTATTTGGTTTTGACCTCCTGGTATTACTTGACTCTTTTTGGAAGATTAAACACAACTAGAGATGGAGGGGCCCATATCAGATAAATTCACAGACAACTGGGGTGGGACGAGACCCCCAGCCAGAGGGTGCTGAGTTGCTTTGGCGGTAAGACTGTTTCCCACCTGCAAGGGTGATGCTGGCATCGACATCACAGCATGAGCTGTTTGTGTCACCAGGCAGGTGAGCAGGCATGCAAAAGACAGGAGAAACACCCTTGCAATATACTCTGTGAAAGACCAATTTGATTTAATATGTAGAAGAAGGATATTGTTTGTTCTTCTTTGAATAAATGTTTCCTCTCCCTACCCAATAAAATACCACTTTTACTTAAGCAAACCCTCCTCTCTCTCTGCATAACCAAGTTACAATGTATTTAATTTTTCTTTATTTTTCTTGAAAGTTTTGGCTTCTTAGAAAAGTATGATGTGCAGTCGATAAAAACTCTAGTTAGAAATACATGTGGGGAAGGTAAGTCTCCTTATGCACGTTTTTCATCTATTTAAACTACGTGTTTATATATAAACCAATGTCCCTCTCACACATGAAAAAAAAAAATCCTATTTTGCCTGCACAGAAGATGCTGTCTTGTAGATTTTTTTGTCTCTACTCATAAGTGTTTAAAACAATTATTTTTAAAGCACTGAGCTGAATTTAGCCTAGCAGTCAAAATTTGTAGCCTCTTTCTGTTTTCCTGACCCTTTCTGTTTCATGAGACACCAAGCCCCACAAAGGTGCTGAGAACCCTAACTTCCTGTACAACAAATCATTTCACCATGTGTTTTAAGTTACTTTTACTTCAGTGGCATTAACCTTAAGGTTAAAGAAAAATGGTGTTTTGCTCCATGAAGACCAGAGACTTTTGCAGAGTGCAGTGAAGTCCACCAAGAGCTTTCTCCATTGTGGGTTCTGCTGCAGATATAACTTCATTAGAGTAAAACCTTGTATAACAAATAGATTTTAACCCCAAACAAAGCCAATATAAAATAATAATAATAAAAATAAAAATACACACCAAAAAAAAAAAAACAAAACCACCACTTTCTTTTAAAGCTTATACTTCCTCTTCCAATTAGTTCATTCCTCTCCCTAAACACCCTCGTACTTCAAGATTAGGAAAAAAAATACATTTTTGCAACTGTCATCAGTGCTGCAATACTTCCTGGGGAGCATTCATAAAAATAACCCATCTTATTAACAATGCGTTATTACTTCCAATCTGCATAATAAATAGATATTCTGCAATAAACAGTCACATAACCAGCAAGACTAGCAGTCTTGTCATGCAGTTACATGTTCTCTATTCACAAGTGCATGCAAGCCCATAGATTTATTATAAAGGAGAATCTGTTGAACCATGAATGCTTGTTCCTAGGCCAGTTTGGCCTGATATGAGCAGCTATACTTGACAGGCATGTCCTGTATGTACATACTATTATAGGCACACAGGGTTCCTTCTTCTGCTTTCACTTTTGCAGGTGTAAGTTGGGAACAACAACACTGAAGTTAGAGGCGCGATAATGATGAAATAATTAGCTACAAATATATGCTTTTACTATCTCATGTTTTAGCCTTTCATGTCAGCTGCAAGACACTGGGAATGACACATGGACACAGAGTTGGTTTTACATTGAAGTGCACGTGTGGTCAGTAGCTCTGTCACCAGATGTGAATGTTGTGTGAATGGCCACAGAGCCCACATACCCACACAGTGAAATCAAGTGACTAGTACATGTTGGGCAGGCTGGTACATGCAGGATGGCAAATGACCCCTCTAAAAATGAGGAGTGTAAGCTACAGGCCCAAAGGTGATCCCTTCTACTCCCATAGTATAACTCGGTGACCTTAGGAGATGCTATCGCCTGTCCTCTCCAGCCTGAGACTGGCAGGGGGTGCGCACAAGAATCATTGGCCACTTTCATTGGCCCAGCTGTGGTTTATTCATCAATGCCTGTGACACATTCAGCATTGAGAAGACCATACCTGGCAACAAGATATTAACAAGTATTTCGTGTAGGAATGACCTGAAGAAGACCTTAAAGGAGGGAGCTTATGGCGATGAATATTTTTGTTTTTTTAATTAAGTTGAAATGAGTTCATTTTTTGTGTAGCTGGCAGGGATATGTTCAGCTCTTCTTACCCCATGCCATAACTTTTTTTTAACTCTTCATTTTAAGACACCCTAAACTATAAAGGGGAGCAGGGACAGAAGCTTACTCAGGTGCTTTTGTTCCTTTGCTTTTATGAAAATTCAGCATAAATAAAGCCATGTTCATTAACTGTATAAAAAAGCATAGCTCCAGTGGAGTTTAAGTCTACCTTGAACTTTGCTTTTAAATGCCATTTCTGTTCAGTGGGCAGGTTCATTGCCTCAGCAACATCTCTGTGCACACACGCAGGTATGAGTTTTGACATCACATTTCGTCTCAACATGCACATGCCCTATCTGTGGTTTAGTGTGTCGTTCATATTTTATATACATAAGTGTATATCTGTCTCTAAAATGATTCATATGATATGATGAAGCACTGTCGATGACAGTGGGTCTGTTTCAGATCTGGAGTTTTCTTCTTTGTACTATAACAGAATATATTGATGTTGTATATTAAACAGTGCAGTAGTGTAAGTATATTAAGACACAGTGTATCAGAGGGCATAGTCAGGACAGGAGCAAACAGTTCCTGTTCACAAAGGGTATTTTTTTAGGTTTGCTTTTTTTTTGTATTTTTTTTTCTTTTTGCACAAGATTATGTTCAATTTGCTTAGAAAAAGTGTTCAATAATTGTATTTATAAAAATATGCAATGATGGCATGAAAATAGGATGGTTTATGTGTGTACATCAAAATGGCTTTAAGTATGCATTTGTTTTTAAAAAGTGAAAAAGAACTGCTTTTAGGCCCTTCCACAGACACTGCCTTTTGTAATAGAAAAGTTGTATTTACATGTTTCTTTTTATGGTATCTTGATTTTCTTTGAAAACTTTGTATTTGCAAAAGGAAGCAAATTTCATAAAAATTTGAAATGTTGTTAAATTATGGCTGCAAAGTAAGATGTATCTTTTAAGACAAGAGAACATGGTAAAAGACCCAAACGAAACCCTAGAACATTTCTGTCACTGTCCTAGTGGGTGAAGAAGCTGTTTGGTACAGCTGGAGGCCCTCTGTGCATGGCGGGGTGGTGACTGTGTGTGTGTGAGAGGACAATGCCTGGTGAGATGCAGATAGACAGCTCTGTGGGCAGTTCAGTATCATGCATGGCCTCAAACTCTGCTGCTACACCTACAACCCGCATCATGGCGAGTTCGTCCTTGACTCTGGCCAAAAAAAGTCATGTTGTGTCAGTCACCCTCCACTCACCAGCTCTGTGAAGCAGCCTTGCTAAGCCAGCTCCAGCTGAAGATCAAGCCCTAAATTGGCCATCTCCTATACAGAGCAACCCTGGCCACAAAACTCACACAGCTCTTGCGAGCAGCTGACTTGGAGAAGGTTTCTTCCTTTTTCAGGCCTCTCCTCTCACCCTCCCTCCCACCAGCCAGCCAAAGTCATTACAGCACACAATTACTTCTGCATGTGGAGTCATGGTAATTCAAAATAAAACACAGAAATTATTTCTACTACTTGCCATAACAAAGGCGATTTCTCTGCAGGTGTCCCAGTTTTCTTCAGATCCCAGCACAGTAAATTTCACATCACATATTTAATGCAAACAAGCATAATTGTTTGTTTAGAAAAAGCACCATTTGTAAAATTTCAGAAATCTTTCCATTTGTTAAACTGTATTATTATGAACAAAATGAGAATAATAATAATAATTAAAAACAAACAAACAAACAAACAAACAAACAAAAAACAAACCCAAAACACTAGCAGTATTGCAATAAATTCTTTTACAGGTTCCCAAAAGCTAAATTTTCAAGTTACTGTGATACAGTTTCATCATAAACTACAGCTATTTTTCTATAAGAAGAAACCCTTTAATGCCCTAATTCTTTCATTCACCATCATAGCTAGTTCTCAGTAAATGAAATGCACTACAGATTTCTCTTTCAGCAGATGACTCTTCTGCAAGGTGAATATTGTCTGTTAAATAATAATATTTTTTTTAAATTGACTAAACACAATATTCTCAATCAATGTTATTAAATGTATGACTGAAGTAGAGACATCAATGTATTTAAATGCAAGTTTGTGTCCCTAAAATTCTCTTCTGGATATCTATTACATTTATTTCTTAAGATCACCATATTTACATTTCTTCCTAAAATTATATCAGAAATTGTGGTAGGTGCCAAGATACAAATTGTTATGCAGACACAAACATAGGAGTACCAGGGATGAGTACTTTCAGCCTCAAGTCCCCAAACAGGCTTCCCAGCCCATACAGAAACATCTAAGCACCAAAACAGTATTGAGATTGTGCTCAGCAACCAATGTTTTCTACTCAGTTTTTGAAATCAAGAAACAGACTAAAATACACAAGATTGTTTTAGTAGATATCAAAATGAGAACTTGGAGCCAGGTCTGGGGCGTGCAGATTCTGATAATGTAACAATTTCCTTTTTTTTTTCTTTCCAGAGGTGGGGAGGAATCACTCAACATTTTATTTGGGGAAAAGGGGTTAGAAATGCTCCTGACATTACCAGGATATTGCACTGGTTTTGTCAGCTTGTGAGACGGTCAAAAATAAAGGAGAAGCTTTCACTGAAAGCTTCAAGCTGTAGCGACAATTTTAAGGCTGAAAATGTTGCAAATGGAGAAAAAAAATGTTTGATTGCTGAAAATAAAAACAACTGTTCCTGACTGACTGCCTCATGGGTCAGAGCTCCAGGGCATCCTTCCCTGCTAGGGGCCACCCAGGTTTTATCCACCATCATGAAGCATGGTCAGCTTCTTGTCTGGAAGAAATATGGTGTATGCGAACAAATTCTGAACCAAATGCATCATGAAAGACAAAAAATCATCAGACGT